AGAGAGAGAGAGAGAGAGAGAGAGAGAGAGAGAGAGAGAAGGGTATAAAATGCTGCGCTTGCTCTTTCCAGTGCTATGCTCCTTTCTTCATGAGTGCATATTTGAAATGCATAATGATCACGTTCCCTATAGAGAGCTGGCACCTATATCTAACAGCTTAATTCCTTCTGCATCTCCTGTCCCTTCCCTCTGTCCCTCCTCCATCTCTTGCATCCCTTCCCCTTTGAAAAAAAAAAAATCTATCTCCCTATTTCCTATTATCTATCTATTTATATTTTTGGATTTTTCATATAAGAGAAACCGTGTGAAACTTCAGTTTATGTGTCCCATATGTCTCACTGAACACGGTCTCAAGGTGTGTCCATTTCTTTACACACCGTACAAGCTTAGCCCTCACTAAGTCAGAGCAGTACTTCTTAGAATCTTTCCTGCGTTTGGTTATTCTTACTGTTTCCCCCATCCCTCTGCGTAATGTGTGCTTGTCTCTTTTCCTCCTTTATCAGCTTAACCTCATCTGCAACTCCCCTTAGAGAAGGAATCATCTCATGCTCCTCCCTCCATCCTCTCTTTACTGGGAGTTAGATATGCTATCATTTGAGATGGTTTTAATGATGACCTTCATACTCTGACACACTGAATCTAGAGTTCTGGTTCACCAGCATCAAGTGTTGCCGAAATACTAATGCAGCCTCTGGGCTACAGAATGATGACCATCAGGATGACTATTTTACAAAAGCTCCCTGAGGTTCTGGTGCCCTTCAAGCTAAGGACCACCTCCCAGGGCCCATTCATGGGCACCCCAGTCAAGATGCAGGCAGGGCACCCCTCCCACCTCCGCTGCACCAACTCACCATTCATCCTCAGGACAGCAGGCAACGGCAGAGGTGAACAAATGGCAGACAGGAACACAAGCACCTGACAGCCCCGGGACCACACTTTCCCCAAGCACCATCTTGGCTGAGAAACATTCACCCTACAAAGAGCCACAAGCAGAACCAGCGTCAGAGACAGTAAGAGGAGTACAGCTTCCAGAGACCTGACTTCTCCATTGAGGGACTTGAAAACAAGCACCTTCTAGGTCAGTGTCATTCCTACTAGGAGCGCACTGCACAGGGCAAGGGGCTCACCATCTGGAAGCTGCTTACTAAACAGGCAACGTCACCCAAAGCAATGACAAGCAAACTTCACAGTTAAAACCTTTAGTGGAATATAATCAGCACCTTAGCACCCTTGAACAATATTATACCATTAATGGCACAAATAAGGCAGATAAAGAAAAATGCACTAATTACCCCAAATTACCCCCCAAGGTTTCTTCTTAATAAAATGGCAAGAGAAAATTAGAAAATGATTTCATTAAACCTTGTTTAAGGAGAGTGCTCCAGGGACTACAGTGAGTCAAATTTTCCAATCAACTGGTAGGCAAAGAGTTAAGACCCTCATTCCCCTTGTTAGACAAGAATATGATTCTATATTTTCAGAATCCCTTTTCTCATATTATGGAGAAATCAAGCCTTGTAGCTCTAAGAGACTCATTTCTTTGTGATGAAGGTTATTGTAAGGTTAAAGTTATCATTCCCGGCCTGACGTCTTATGTAGGAGGGGAGATGTCAGCTCTTAGATGAACATATATTGACCCCAAGTTATCTCCTAACTTTGGTGAGGTTAGTGAACATTACAGTTATGTGCTTATCACTCTGTGTTCCTTTTCGGGGCTACTGGGGGGTCTAGTTGGAGGGTCCCACCCATACGGCTCCACTAATGTACACCTGGGCTTTGGCTCCGTTAATTGTGTAATCAGACATTCTGGTGCTGGCCTGGCACACACTCCGGTTTGAGCAAACCCTGCCATTTCGTTTGGCCTGCACTGTGCTTGCGATGGCAGCCCTCCGTACCAAATGCCCAGGAGCTTGTTACAGATTTGAAAGTGACAGACTTTGACTGCAGGACATGATTTCCATTTCATTCTCCCAATAGTTATTTTATGAACAAGATGTTCTTTTTAAAGTCTCTAAAGAGTGTGGAGAATCCCTCCAATGTGTGCGGGCTCCTAACGAGCGAAGGAAGAACAACTATGCTCTTGAGAAGGCACCGACCGCACCTGAGAGTGCATCCCAGGCAGAGGAACCCTACTCCAACTTCACTTTTAGGAATAGCTTGCTGGTACCATTGTGCAAATCTGTTACTTGTATAAACCTCTGAAAAATGGGGCCACGGGTCAAGAAAATTTCAAAAGTTACTCCCAACCTGAGTTCTCCTTTCAGCCAAGTAATCACCTACTAGCATTTGCTGCTGCCTACAGGTCAGATTTCCCCAGCTAACTGACATTCATGCTGGAGGAGAAAGACTCAGGCTCTTACTTCCTCATCCAGCAAGTAATTACTGAGTACCTGCTGTGTTCCAAGAATGCTTTGAGGTGCTAGGTTCCAGGACATATCAGGGAACAATACACAAAATGGCCTCTGCCCTCTGAACCTGTCATTCCAGTGGGAGGAGAGAGGACAAAAGGACACCATACTTTCAGCTTATGAACAGTGGTCTGGAGAAACTGGAACAGGTCTGAGGTGGGACTCGCTGGAAGAGCTGTTGGCAGTAACTGCACACTGGGTTTGCCCAGAATAGATCCCAAGGCAAGGGTTGTTTAAAAGTGGTTTCTCTGACACCAAAGCTAGAAGCACCAGTAGAGAAGCAGAAAAGTGAAGCAGAGGAGAGAAAGGCAGGTGCGCCACAGAGATACTAAGTACTGCAGGCTGCTGAGGGCGCGCAGCTCACCAGGGGCTCCTGAGGTGTCAGTGTAGACTATGCAGCAGGCTAAGGCACCCAAGGGGAGGATTCTGGGACACAAGTCTACTACCTGCCCACGCATCATTGATTGGGAGTCGGGAGCCACTCCTGGACATATTAACTCCTCAGCACATCCCGCTTATCCTGCCTATAGGTGGAGGATGAAGTGGGTGCAGTTAGGATAGAATATGGAGCTGCAATGTGCAAAAGAAGTGGAGGCGAGTAAGGGACTAACAGTGTCCACTACAGGGCAAGAACCGGCTCAGAAGAAGTGGTGTCCCGCTGAGAGCCACAAGATGGAAAGGAGCCTGCCAGGGAAATAACATGCCCAGGAAAGAAGAGCGTGGTTCAGTAGGCCCAGGATGGGTTATTCACAAAATAGAACACAATGAATCACAGAATCTGGGGGTGCAGGTGGGTGAATGGCTTTGAATTAAGGAGCTCACTCTCTTAGACAACGTCATAAGGAATTAAAAGATGTGGACAGATCACTATGTACCACCAGATCCCAAAAGAGCTGACACCAGCACTCAGACCTCTCAGGAGCCCACTGAGGGTTCCCTCATCCTCCACAATGCTTCCTCTGTCTCCTCCTCCCTCCCTCTGACTGAGATTTGGCAACGGACCAAGCCATGGACCAGAACTGGCATCAACTTTATGACTCCTGATCAGACCCTTGAAGGGAGCCTCATGTTATATATATAAAGAAACCTAAGTTAAAACAAGGCTGTGTGAGGTCCTGCCTTGGGTTGCCTCCCAATCTCATCTCCCACCTTCCCTCCTCCTCGTCCACCATGCCATTCTCACACCAGCTCCTTACTGTTTCTGGAACATGGTAAACAGCCCTCACCTCTCAGCCCTTGCTACAACCCCAGAAACCCCGCAGCCCAGTCACAAGTGGAGACCCTGAGCCAACAACTCTGCGCCCCAAGCAGTCTGATCATGCCCTTCCCTTCCACAGCCTGGCAGAGCCCCTTTCTTTCCATTCACCCTATTATCTCTCTCTCCACAGGACTCCTTTCTACCTTGCTATGTGTGACAGATCTATCTTGTGCTATGTTTGCCTGTTTGTTGTCTGTCTTTCCCACTAGAGAGCAAGGAATATGAAAGTTCTGTTTCATTCATCACTAGAGACAGCGCTCAAAGATATATTGCGTAACTAAAGAACTTGTTTCCGACCCCATCTCTGCAGCTAACTTGCTGAATGACTGTGCAACTCTATTTTCCTCCTCTGTCTCAGCTTCTTTATCTGGCAAATAGGCATCTAATTTGTACTTTGTAAAAGGATAAAGTGAAATGAGGTCATAGATATGAAAGTACTGTACATTATTGAATATATTATATAAATATAAGGTTTCCTTTTAAGTCGAAGGCTTCCTGAGTTATAACAAATTTTCCTGAATTGGATGGAATTTCCATTCTCAATAAAGAATCCTTTGTAGATGTTAGAATTGATCAGGCCTCATCTGGTAAGACAGATCCGGTCCATTGTGCATGAAAGAGCTCAGAGGAGATGAAGATCCAGATTAGAATTGAGCCCCTTCTACAAACTTGCCAGTGACCTTGGGGAACTTGCAAGAACTTGCCAGTGATGGGCTTCAGATTTCTGTTCTCTCCGCAGGGCCCAGGGTAGGGGAGATGAAGGAGGCAGTTGTCTGTATTTTGTTCCACATATCTATGTCATCATAACCAAGCCGCTGACCAGTCTCTTAGTTGGAATGCCATTTGCTGGTCCCTCTTTCTGTGCCAACCTTAACATATGTCATCTTCTTATGCCTGCTTCCTGTCCTACAATAGGCAGATAAGCAGAATATCAAGTAACTTCGCCTTAATTATGATAACAGAGACTTGGGAGCCAGGCTTTCCACCCAGCCAGGCTGGCTGCAGCCCAGCCATTTATAACCACTGTGCTAACTCCATGCGTAAAGCAACTGATGACCCAAATCCATCCTGCGAAGCAGGACAGAAAGCCCTGTGATTCTGCAACATGGGTGTGTTGATTTATTTAGCAATCTTGTCCTGATTTCTCCCCTTCTCTCTTTCCACAGGGCTTCATGGACATTGACTTAAATAAATTCAAAGAGAGTGGAGCAAATGTGACCGGGTTCCAACTGGTGAACTACACAGACACTGTCCCAGCCAAGATCATGCAGCAGTGGAAGACCAGTGATGCCAGGGACCACACCCGGGTGGACTGGAAGAGACCCAAGGTTCATATAGTTAGACCACCAAGATTCTTTTGTCTTGTTCTGCTGCCCTCAGCATATGGCTTCGGTCTTATGGTTCAAGATGGCTGCTTAAACTCCAGCCATCACCTCAGCACTCTACCCAGCAGGATGATAAAGAGAAAAAGAGGACACACACTGCTTTCTTTAAGAATTGTTTGTCAAGTTCACACACAGATCTTCCACTCATAAGGAAACCACCCTCAACTGACTGCATAGCAAGCCAAAAGTTCTATCTCTAGTCAGGGATGCCCTATTCCACAGCTCAGGAGCAAGCTCATTTCTTTATGCACAGGGCTTCCTTGAGATACACTGTGGGGCCAGCCACCTGCCCAGCTAAATATGGAGGAAACCCAACTAAGGATTATCCAGCAGATCACTACATCAAAAGTCAGCCATCAATTATCATGTATAGTATCTACTTCCCAGAAACGCATCTCTAAATCCTGCAACCAAAATACTGTGCGCTCTCGGAAAAATGGTCTAGAATAAAGAGAATAAGTCATTTTTCTTCCCCTGTCAAATAGTTTGGCAGTGGCTACACAGGAAGTACAGGTTGAGAAGGATTCTGAGGCCAACTTATATGGAGCAAACAGTGAATGCCTGGCCGACTTTTTCTTGCCCTTCAGTAGATTTGTTTTTGTAAGTTGCGGGCCATGTAACTGACATGCTTCTCAACTTGCTATTGATCAAATTGACTTAATTCTTCGAAAACAAAGACTAAGCCAGGTGCAAGGGCACATGCCTGTAATCACAGCTAATTTAGCAAGACTCTGTCTCAAAATTAGAATTCCTTTAAAAGACTGGGGAAGTAGCTCAGAGGTAAGGCATCTGCCCTTCAGGTCAAAGGTCTGGGTTCGATCCCCAACGTTGCAAGAAAGAGTTGGGGTGGAGAAATTAAGACTTATGACCTGGGAGCTGGCTCAGTAGAATAAGCACTTCCCTGGAAAGCGCATGGGCCTGAGTTCAATCCCCGTTCTGCAAAAAAAAGAAATTAAGACTCATTTCATTATGTGCTTAAACAAGCAAAAATCCCAAGTGTACTTTAAATCAATCAGTGAGCCAGACACACATACTTAACTAATAAACGAATAAACCACTCAATTTCGAAAGGGAGCACAATCATCTTGAAAATGTGGCCCAAAAAAAAAAAAAAAAAGTTCAACCCTGTAAAAATACGTGCAGTTCATTCTGAGACTCTCTACTGTGTGCTTACAATGTGCCAGACAGCAGAAGAAGACTGGGAACAGTTCAGTGAGGAGGACAGAGCCGGACTCCAAACACAGAAATTATGTTCCTGGGCTGTTACCCTGTTTTTGTCTCAACTACGTCTTTTAGCTCCATCTTGGTCAAGAGAGGAAACACAGTGCGAGTTGTCATTAGCACACTCCCGGAAAGCTTACAGGATGTAAACTCACCACTTGGGAGGCCTGAAGAAATGACTAAGCACTCACTCATCTCAGAATATTTTTTTCCTTCCACGGTTATAAGAAATAGTAGAATAATCATTTCTTCTTGGCTCCCAGTGGGTGGCTATCATACAAAGAAAACCAACTGATTTTCCGTGCTTTTGGCCTGCAGGTGCGTCGTATTTAATCTACACATTTTTCCCCTAGTGAACCAACATTGTTTAAAAATCACCACACGGCACACACAAGTCTAGAATTCTGCCTTCTTTGCGAATGCCCCAGCTAACCGTGCTGAGCTAACCCTGCAGAGCGGCACTGGTGGCCCAGGCCACAGTCCCATGGGAAGGGGCAGGTGTGTCCGCTGCTGGTTCACCCCTCCCGACCTGTTCCTTCCACCACCCGGCCTGCTGAACGCGTTCTCCTTGCAGGACGCACAAGGCACGCACAGCTAGTTCTCCGTGGCTTCCCGCCAGCCCCCTCTGATACCTGTCTCCTTTCCTATTCCAGTACACCTCTGCCCTCACCTATGATGGGGTGAAGGTAATGGCGGAGGCTTTCCAGAGCCTGCGGAGGCAGCGGATTGATATATCTCGCCGGGGGAATGCTGGCGACTGTCTGGCCAACCCAGCTGTGCCTTGGGGTCAGGGCATCGACATCCAGAGAGCCCTGCAGCAGGTAAGACTGGCGATTGTCCCACTTCAGGGCAGCCTCCTGGAGAATTCAGCACCAAATTTAAGCAGCTATTAAAGAGAAAAAGGAAACTGTGCCTGAGGTTTGGAAGAACCACTGCCCTGCGTCAGCAGCTCCTGGAATAGATGTCCTGTCAAAAATTACACAAATGTAGAAAGCAGAACAGTTGTTTTTTTGGTTTTTGTCTGTTTGTTTGTTTTTTGTTTTGTTTTTGTTTTTGTTTTTTGGCGGAACCGGGGATTGAACTCAGACCCTTGTGCTTGCCAAGGAAGCACTTATTCGACTGAGCGATCTCCCCAGCCCCAGAACAGTCATCCTTCATAGAGTATACGCTGTATTTTCTGTGTGGGGATTATGCTGAGCTAGGAAAGTCAGTGACGTCTGTGTTTAGAAAGGAACTTGGAACACACAAGGATGGTGCCAGCGCACGTTAGCAGTCCCCTGGACTTCGTTTCCGTTACCTTTGTTCACCGCGCATGCTTCAGGAGGCTCTGCAGGGTGAGGGTCCCTGGTAGTGTTTCTCGGCACTCCTGCTCCTGCCGGCTTGCTTCTTGGCGTTGCAATCATCAGCTCTGTTTGCGCTGGGGAACAGTTAAGAATAAGAATGGAATGGTTCCGCCCACTCCAATCGATTGGCTATGCGCAGGGTTGTGAGGCTGCAAGCAGATGCCACAGGAAGAGCATAAATATTCACTTAGTGATATGTCTGCTGCAGAAGCAGGATGAGACGGGGTACCTGTGGGCGTATGTTTAACACTCCAGGTTTAGAAAATTCTAGGGACTCTGCCCTCCCGCTCTGGGAACCGCCAGAAGTCTCTAGAAGTTTCCGGCCCCGGCTAACTCTCTGTCCACCAAGTGTAGACCATACTGTGCTTCTGGTGACTCCTGATGGAGAAGCTGTTCTTGTAGCTACTGCAGAGCGCTAGCTGCAAATGAGGAATCACCAGGTAGAGCAGCAAATCGACAGCAGCAAGACATTTCGGTGCAAATGTTGCTCAGTACCCAGCCTCTCTACCCAGTCCAAATCTACTCCATTCAACAGAAGGTGAATTGCACTCTCAGGGTGAAAGAAGAGTGTTTCCGAAGGAGGGAGAAACACAGAGCAAAATGTACAGCAATCCCCGTTTGTTTTCTAAACACATGTGCGCAGCTCTGGGTTTTCACAAACCACAAAAAGAGAGGAGAAAGGAAAGCCACCAGCTGTTCTTCGGGCTTGCCGAGTGCCTCGGTGTAGGGAGAATGAACAGTGCTGTCCTCGGGACAGGAGCTCATCAGAAAACCCAGGAACTAGAGGCTACAGGCCAAGGAAGAACACCAGCTGCCATCTCTGCCCTCCCTGGCCTCCATCATGGTGGTCCCCAAATGACAGGTAGCCACAGGAGACCCCAGGCAGCTTCCCAAATAATCGAAGGCCACAGAGATTTCATCTTGCCCCTAGCTTACTTAAAATGCTCTTCCAGACTTGACAGTCGAGACAGATTCTTTTTGCTATGTAAGCCTGGTTTCAGAAGGTTCCAAGGACTTGCCCTTGGCTCCATGCCCCATCCAATTCTCTGGCCTCCCCCATCCTAATGATGTCCCTGAAAAGCTATTCTGACGCCACTGTGATAGGGACAGAGCCAGGGAGGTGATACATAGTGACACAAAGGGCTCTAAACCAGGAGGCAGGAGAGCTGGCTGCAGCTCTCTCTTAGCAAGCTTAAAATGATCAATCCGCTCTCCCAGGGACTTCCTGTTCTTTATCCATGAAAATGAGCTGGTCGGAAAGACAACTAACTCCCAAGCCTCCACTGTCTCTGAGAGTCAGAGCCAAATTTGCCAGGCATTGTGGTGCATTTTTATATTCCCAGAAGTCTGGGAGGCTGAGGCAGAAAGATGGCCATTTCCAGCCCAGCCTGGGCAACTTAGAGATGGAGCAAGACTGTCTACTCGTCTCAGGGTCTAACTCACCTTGTACTCGTTCTAAGTTCTGCTCATTCTATCCCTGCCATTAGTAGGGCCGGAAATGGAGCAATTTTCCACATCAAAAGAATACTGCCCCTTTGGATGCTTTCTCAGATGCTTTGCATCAGTGGCTGCCTGGGAGAAGGCTACACACTATGGCCTGGAGCCAAGCACTGAGGCTGGTAAGGGAAGCCAAGGCCTGTCCTAAAGAGATTGAGACACTCTAGAGAAAAGACAAGCCAACTAGAAAGTTCCTACCCTAAGACTGACCCCTTATCAAATCCTCCTTAAGCACCTAGGATCAGAAGAATTTATTGTCAAATGAGACCTTAGCGGTTGCTCTCAATTCCCCTCGCATTTCCTACACAGCAGCTTGACAGCGGAGGCTGAACAAGAGCCCTCTCCATGCTCCTTCTGCCACGCAGCCTGGGCCATCCTGTATCCCAGCCACCATTTTGCCTTCTAGAACTCATCTCCTAAAATAGCCATGGAAGAGAATGAACCCACCCCCAGGCAAGTAAATCCCGACAGCATCTAGTTCTTGGGGCACAGGCCCTGCGGGCTCAGGTCTCCACACTGCCCGGTGTCCACTGGCCTTCAGGTCATGCAGAGGGCGTCTGGTGTCTCATGCAGTTAGTGAATTAGACCTGCAGGTCCCAGAGCAGCCTGTCTGGAGCAAACACACTGCAGAGTCCAGTTCTGCAAGCGCACGGGTATAGCAGCTACGATGTATTAAGGGCTTTGTATGTACAAAGCTCTGACAATCTACACATACGATCTCACTGAATCCTTGACACGCACAGTGAGCGAGCTGGCTTTTATTAATTGTGCTTTATAAATGGAGGAACAGAGCTTCAGCGAGGTTAAAAATCTTCCCCTAACTACGCAGCTGGCTGGCTGGTGATGAAACGACTCCAGCCCACGTTGCGTCGACCTCTCCATCTGTACACTTAACTGTGCAAAGACCGCAAAGACCCAGATGGGCAGAGGAGATGAGGATCGTGACCCAGCCCCCAACAGCACGTAGCCGCAGGCAATGGCTGCGCACCCACGCCCACACCCACACACCCCTCTGTAATTTCCCTAGCAGCAGAAGGGAGATAATCAGCCCGCCTGCCTGCCCTCTGCTTGCCTCCCAGGGAGCTGTTCAGAATATTAATGAACCCACTTCCTGGAAGCCCTTGGTGCCCCCGACAGGAGGCAGTGCTCTGGGGTCCTTATGTCTGCTTCTGGTTGGCAAAGAAGACTCGCCTTCCAAAGTCAAGCTCTTACTGTGTGGGAGGGTGTCGATGCTTCTGAATATGATTTTTAAAGAGAAAACCTTTTTAGCCTTTTCTCCAGGAAAATGCACATACATACATACTTACATACATACATATATTTCCTCATGACCAAGAGTAAGGGGAACTCAGATAGTCCTAGGAGCTGAGCCCAAAACCTCATGCTTAAAATAGCTTGCCCTAAATGTTGATCATTTTCTTTCCTTTCCATTTTTGCAAAATGTCAGCCCATACCAAAGTGTATCAAAGTGAAGGTATGTTCACCAATTTTCTGGAGCGGGTCTGGGATGGGGGGCAGGAAGGGGAGTGCAAGACACACCACCTACCTCTCAGGACTGAAGATCTGGCTTGAAAATCCAGGCAAGTTTATAAGAAAAAATTGCTAGAAAGATGTGGATTAAGGCCTAAATCACAAAGATAAGCTTTTTGTGCTATGAACAGTTGGGAGGGCAGAGCACATCGGTGAATAAGAACACTAGCAAGGCTCGCTGTAGGGGGATCCTGGGCCTTTCCGCAGCGCGGCCACAGAGTGTATCACAGAAACTCAGACTTAAGAGTAAAAGGAAGAGCTAGGAGTTTTGCTCCATAGTGGAGTGCCTTGCTCACACTGCATAATTCCAGCACTGATAAAAGGGAAAGGAAGTGCTATTATCGATTATTCCAGACAAAGATCCATGGGCTGAAACTATCCAAAGTAAACTGTGATAAATGGTATCTTGGTTACTTTTCTCTCATTGTGGGACAAAATACCTGACAAACAAAATGAAGGAAGAAAAGATTTACTTAGCTCACAGTTAGTGGAGGTTTCAGTCCCTACTCAACTGGCTCTAAGGCAGATGGCACACAGCAAAGGGCAACAGTTCATGGTGATGAACCTCTCCCTTCCTTACACTGCATTCAGGCTATCCGCCCAAGCTGGGTGTAGCACTCACACCCATAATCCTAGCATTGGATCATGAATTAATTCCAAACCCTAGAAATCTGCCCCATGACTGCATGAGGCTTTGGGAGGACATCTAGACACAAATCCTACCAAATGGTCCCCTGAGCTTTAGAGGAAGGTGAATTTGAGCAAGGAATAAATGTGGTTTTTGGAAGTTCTAGGTAGGAATATTAATCTTACCCAGCATCACATCAGGGTCATTTGCAAACAAGGACTTGTGGGTATCACACTTTTCTTTTTAGGAAGTCAGACAAGGAAGAGCTGGGTGGTAACAGTACACCTGGGTGGTAAGAGTCCACCCAGCACACCCTGGAAGTGTGTATGTAGGGAGGCATCTTGGAACAATTACTCAACTTTTCTAGGCCTCAATTGCTACATTTGCTATGTGGACACAATCCTCTTAGTACTATCTTGCCCACTGATTTGCCACAAGGCTCAAAATTTTTAAATGTATACTATAGATGTCTCTGCAAATTCAAATTAGATATATATATATATGAGATGGTTATGTAGCAGAAAAAAAACCATTATCAATCCAAATAGAAAACTTTACACTAAGGAGTTAAGATGCAATTTTTATTATGCTAGCAGGCTGATGGGAACCTAGAGGTTCAAATCACCAGCCCACAGTCAGGTTTGAGTTCTGTTTAAATATGGTTTTCAAGTGGAAAGTATAAAGTTGATAGAAGGTCATGGCATGACTGGTTCCATGGAAAAAAACAATTGTTATATATCAGGAAGATTAATACAGGAATGTTCTGGGAAGGAAGAGGTCTGAGAAGCGTAGGTAGAATTGAAAGTGTCCTTGACTAGGCCAGTCTTCCCCCAAACATGAGGCCCTGAAGCCCCTGAAGCAAGTTGGAATCACTGTGTATTTTTAAAACACAATCTATACACACTCACTTTGACCCACACATTGCTAAGGGGGAGCATCTGGGCCTAGGCAGTCAAGACTGATACATGACAGGGCACCCGAGCATGCACACAGGCTATGAATCGATTTCTAACTTCTGTTCTAACCTGCTTACAACTCTACTAGTCTCTATGTGCCCTAAAAATTAGAGGGAGGCTTATTCTTCCCATAGAAGTGGTTGGGAGGGAGTAGAAACTCAGAGGGATTCTGAGACATATTCCTTCCAGAATAACTAGGATATAATCCAACAGGTCCTGGCTTACAGGCCTCACATGTCTCAAAGAAAGGATCTACCTCAACCAGTGGTCATGGGACTTGAAGGTGTTGCCAGTCGGTTTGAGTTTTTGCAAAGCAGGGAAAGTTACCAAGGAGAACACGTGGAATAAAAAGAGGAACCAGGGTGGAACTGGGCTTTTCCAGGGCTTCATAGAGGCGGGGAAAGCACACTGAGATGGAAGACACCTAAGTTTTAAAGGAAGGATGAATTTGAACAAGGAACTAATCTGGCTTTAGGGAGCTCTAAGTAGAACTGAAGTATTTCCCTTCACAAGAAGGAAGGAAGAGACAGGGGAAGTGACCCCTCAGAAGGAAGTGGAGGACAACAGGATTAGAGGCCCTCAGTCTAGGAAGAGACTTGGCTACCTGCGAGAGCACCTTTAGTAAACTGCTGGGCATAAAAGCAAAATTGGACACAAAAATTGATTCATAAGATTGGTTGGAAGTATATTATTAATTTTAAAATATTTTAAAAATAAATAAATAAAAAATATTTTTAAAAGACAGTCACAAAGAAGTTGTAGAAGTCCTGGGTGTCAGGTGGCTCAGCTGCCTCTTCCAAGGCTGCTTTTTCCTTAATTCTGGATCCAAACAGGGCAGGGGGAAAAGAGCAGGTGTGGACAACTGCCGAATTTTCTGTGCTTGGGAAGGACTTAGTCAGGCTCTGGAACCTCCTCCCAGGCTCATCCATTCACTTCCAGGTAAAATCTAGCTACAGCACAGGACCCTGATAAGTCAGCATGGCAAGAACCCTTGCTCCATAGTTGACCTCCTCATTTGATTTCTGACCACCAGAGTTTGTCACCCGCAAGAATCCCATTCCACTAGATTAGCCAGAACTCCTCTTGCTCTTATGTTTCCTCTTGGTAGTTTTTGTCTAGTAACCCTGACCCTGTACCTTGGCTATAAATACCCCCCACTCCTGTGTCCATTCTGTATTTGGAGCTGAGTTGGTGTCTCTCCCATACTGACTCTCATCACAGTGGTCCTATATCTATCTCCATTCTCCAGAACAAAGCCTTCCTCACTGAGCCTTAACAAGTCCTGCTGAAATTCTTTTTTAAATGGCTCAAGTCACAGGGACATTAGCTAGCACTATCCTGCCTCCAGGCAGTAAAGGAAATGTATGTTTCAGCATCCTGCCAGCAGCAACTCTGAGCTAGGACTAGATACCCTTTACAGGAAGCCCAAGGTGCATTCTCCACCTATCAGAGAGAGAACTGATGGGCACCAGAATGATGCCAGGAGTTCCAGGAGCAGAACCCAAGGACAAATGCCTGGAATCCATCCATCTGTCTGACCTCATTGGCCCTGAGGCAGCAGGGAGACCTGGTAGATGGGAACAGTGGGTTTACATCTACAGAGAGCTGCCATCTTCTGAGAGTCTTTCTTCTTTAACTCTGAGTTCTAACTCTCCAAGATGAGTGGTTTGGGACTGAACATTTGCCTTGACCTCTCCCTGTTCTGGTGTCCTGGACTAGTGGTCAGGGCAGGGGTTGAGGGAATCCTGCTTTTCCGTTGTCTAATACTGGTTTACCTCTATGAGAGCAAGTCTTAGATTGCCCAGATAGGCAGGAAAAATCTTCCATTACCTCAGGATTCTAATAACTTACTAATAATCTTGGAGCAAGTGCAGTTACCCTAAAGGCTCAGTGAGGTTATCATAAAGTGGGCAAAATGGCCTCTACCCTTGCTTTAGGCCAGAAGCTCATGGACTTTCTGTAAACATCAAAGAACCAGCTGCTTGTGAAAACACTGTGACAATGCCTGGGGGCTTGTGGTCACTAGAATGTTCCAGAAACTGACAGAGGTGTGTAAAAGCAATGGAGAGAAAATCCTCATTTCTGCTCCAAGCGTCCCCTGTTCTCTGCTGTTCAACAATTTACTGGACATGCAGCCGTAATGACATTCTTTTCTTTCACATGCCTCTTGCCCATGCAACTCAGGACAGGTGCAGCACTCATCATCATTGAAATAATATATATTTATGCACACTTATGTTCAAGAGAAGATGATTTGAATTTCAATTCCTTGAGAAGAAAATGAGAAAACAGACTCTATGAGGAGCCCATGCTGCCTGGCTAGGAATGAACAGAGCACAGCAGGAAATAGCCAACAGGGGTGCTGGGTGGTGGTGGAGGCCAGGCAGCACACACTGAGCGGCACATGGCGTGGGGCCCACCTAGAGCCTAGCACAGCGGCGCTGATCTGTGCGTGGGGCACCACTTAACACTCAAAGCGATGAGAGCTCCGTGATAGCCCTGGGTCTTCCTCTTAGTCAGAATTCTTGAGCAGATCCCTCACTTCCCAGGGATTTAGGTTCTCAGCTCTTCTGTAAGCAAAGATCCTAATCTCCAAACAACAAATCTCACAGGATTCCTCTGAATGCAAATGAAGTATGTGTGAAAGTGCTTCATGAATATGAATTACTTGGGAAAAGGTGGTGGTGTGAGTATTGCTGTTAATAACAACAACAGCATTTGTCAAGTAGCATGGGCCAAGCATTGATCATAAAATATCTCATTTAATCTTTAAAACAACCTTATGGCGTAATTAACTCTAATTGCTCCCATTAAATAAATGAGCAAAATGAGTCAGAAAGAGATTATGCAATTTTCCATACTAATGTGCCCTGGTGATGACCAGCGAAATATTTGAGACAGATCCCAAAGTTTAGATCCCCTTAGATTGCTAATGACATGTTTGGGCAAGCCGGTCTACCATGTAGTCATCTACACATCTACCCCACTCTGTTTTTTATAAATGCGCTCATTAGACTAGCACCTACCAGTGTGAGCTTACCTGGAGCCTGAACCTGCGGGAAAGCTGAAGCTGGGCATGAGATGGCCAAGGAGAAGAAAAGGTGAAGCTATTGATGGCGGGAAATCTCTTCTTTCTTTTATTCCTTATTGCAGGGTCTGTGCTTTGCTTTCTTTTTGAAAAAGACAGCCTAGTTTTTTAAGAGCTAGAAGGTTTTCTGCATTTTGGCTGAGAAAATGAAGGGATCGTTGTAAAATTTGCTCAGTGCTCTGAGCCTGTTGTGACTTCCCCAAAGAGATTTCAAAGAAGGTGATGAGGGGGATCAGCCTCAGAAATGGTGAGTGCACACACACACACACACACACACACACTCATACAAACATGATGTCTCCACTGTCACACACACACACACACACACACACACACTCACACTCACATCAACTATTCTTACACCCTTTAACCAGAGAGAAATTGACCACTGTCAAAAAAAAAAAAAAGATAAAACTCTGCAAGACTTCCTTTTAAGCTATTTGAAGGGAGAAAAAATTAAGCAGTGCTGGGCCATAGGGCAGAACCTGTATTGGTAGCAGATAGACTCACTTCCCTGGCCTGGGGTGAGCGGCACCTGAGGATACTCAGCAGGTCACCACTTAGAATGCGGATTCTTGAGCCTGGCTAGTGATGGACAGCCAGGCTCCTCCTTGATAAGAGGGGAGGACTTGGATGAGATTTATTGGCAGCCTGCAGAGCAGCTGGCTCAATCCTAAAGGTCTCGAATCCCCATGTTGACCACTTGACTTTTTACACCAACTTGGAAGAGATGAGTCTGTGAAAGCTTAATGTGACTCATGCAAGAAGTCCCATAAAGCACAATTTGGGGTTCTAGTACACATTTTATGTTAACTGCCTGGGCCCTCTGTACAGACCTGTGGTGTGAACCGAAGCAGCTCTCCTGAGTGCTTTTCAGCCTTTCTAGCACTTTCACACTAGCTGTGGCATTTAAGGTAGGCAGGATAGGAGTTTCAAAAGCCAGAGGCTTAAAGAAAGGGATCACCCAACATCCCAGACAGCTAGCTGGGAGGCCAGAGCCCAGCCCAAGTTCTCGGTCTTTGCAGCTGTGCTCCGTGCCTTGCACCACCACTCAGTGAGGGTCGCAAGGGAATTTCAAGCTTCAGGCAATGAATCATAGGGTGAATCCCACTCTGGATCTTCTTAGGACCTACCAGCACCACCACACCAATCTCTTCCCTCTGCAGGCCTTCTTGGGTTTCTTCATCTTCAGATGTGTGTCTGAGAAGGATGGAACTGTGGTGGTAGTGCTGCTGCAGGGATGGCAAAAGGATTTCACATGTATACGCTCTTGTCCCCTGTCACTGTGCCTGGCATAATGGGTAAAGTGATGTTCAGGATGAATCTGACACAGAAAAGAAATCCATGCTTTTTACAGGTGCCTGCTGTCACGAGGGGGGTGAGAAGTTATAGCAGACAGGCTATTCCAAGCCTGTAACTTTCTTGAGTTTGACATTTTCACTTCCACAGGAAAAGAAGATACACAAACATGAAGTTTAACTTGTGAGTTCACTGGTCACCATTTGGCTTTGTTTTCCAGGTGCGATTTGAAGGTTTGACGGGAAATGTGCAGTTTAACGAGAAAGGGCGCCGGACCAACTACACCCTCCATGTGATTGAAATGAAACACGATGGCATCCGGAAGGTAAGGCCGCTTCTGAGCCATCGTCAGTGCAGTAAGGACCAAGCAGGACTCCAGACAGAGCTAAGTGTCTGGGAGCCCACTTTACTGGAGCAGCACCTTGGAAGACACTCAGCTCAGGTGCTAGCCCGCTGGGGCTTGAGGAAGTCAGGCCCATTCTCTGAGAATGGACTCATTCACTTGCAAAATGAAGATTCAACTATTTTGCAAATGGGAAGGGAACTAAGAGATGGAAGAAGGAGAAAAGGAAAGGGAAAGAGAAAGTAAAAAGGAGATGTGTTGTATATGTCCACCAACTCCACAATGAGTGCAGTCACTATTTATGGCAAACATGTACTGGTTTTTTAAGAAGATTCAAAGCCCTGCTTCTGTTGTAAGGTGCATGTAAAAAAAAACAAAAAACAAGGAACAGGAAAATCTTTGAAAATACAAACAAGAGAGTTGCAATCAAAATGCCACTGCCCTTCTTGAAGGATTCCAAAGAACTGAATAATGTTTACTGATGAAGTTAGCTGTCTTCTGCTGGTCTACACTTGGTCACATCTATTCCATGATCCATGTAAAGGTCACAATTAAAAGTACATTTGTGTAAATACAAGCACAAAGTAATATATACATGTATATGAAATATGGAATGTATGTATTTTCCAAAATTTTAAATAACATTCAAATCCTTGGGATAACATTCAGAATTCTGTAAGAGCCTGTAAGATTTGGGCTCTGCCAGTTTCTCTGACTTTGACCTTGACCTTGCTGCCCCTCCTCTCCCTGCTCCACTCATTCTGAGTGCCTTTCACTCCTCTCTGCTGTGATCCCCCCTCCCGCTCTATTCTTTTGCCTATTCAGAGCTTTCTTAGCTACTCACAGCTAATGTCATTCTCCAGAGCAGCCTTTATTGGTCTCTTATGATGTCTCATGGCAGCCTCTACTTCTGTGTCCTGGGCCTTGATCACACCTCTAATTCCTTGTGGCAGCACTTTGTAGTGACTAAAAAGCATTCAAAGGTGTGGTGCAGAGTGAGTTAAGGCATCATGGATCTGCAAACAGACTCAGCTCTCATGGACCTGGAAGCCTTGGCTTCCTACTCACGAGTTGTAGGCAAGTGCCTTAGACATCTCATCAGGTAGGTGGGTATTGCCATGATACTGTGATCTCACAGCCTCCTTAAAGGAATTACATCACCTATAGTGTGCAGAAGACCCAAGCACTGGGCCTAGCTGTCTCTAGCATAATGCTGTCTAGGGCCATTCCATCAAGTACACAAGCCACCAGCAACACGTGGCTGCTTACATTTGATTTTTAATTAAGTAAAATGTAAAGGTCAGTCCGTGAGTGACACTCACTCCATATCGAGTGCTCAGTAGCTACACAGGCAAATGACTTTTGAATCACTTTTCATACCACACATGGCTGAATGGCTTTTCCTCTGCATATGTGTAGAGCTTTTCTACCATCGCAAAATATTTTACTAGGTGGTTCCAGGTACCCTGTGTCTTCAGCTCTCTGAAAGCTGTCTTCTCTTTACTCTTACCCAGACTCCCTTCTTCCACCTTCTGTTCTGTGTTAACTGATCCCTTCCATCCATCCATCCATCCATCCATCCATCCATCCATCTATCCACCCACCCACCCATCCATCCATCCACCCATCCATCCATTCATCCATCCATCCATCCATCCATCCACCCATCCATCCATTCATCCATCCATCCACCCACCCATCCACCCATCCATCCATCCATCCATCCACCCATCCATCCATCCATCCATTCATCCATCTATCCCTTCTCCCACCCATCCATCCATCCATCCATCCATCCATTCATCTATCCATCCACCCATCCACTTATCCATCCAGGCTGTGTTAGCTTCCTATTGTTGCTGTAACACATTGCTGCAAACTGTGGCTCAGAGCAACCCAAATTCATCACTGTGCAATTCTGTAAGTCTCCCTGGGCTAAATCAATGTGTTGGCAGGACTGTGATCCTTTATGGAAACACCAGGAGAGAATCAGTCTCTTTCCCTTTCTCAACTCTGTCTAGACACCTCCCACATTTCTTGGCTCAAATTCCTCTCCCCCATATTCAAACCCAGCAACACCCCCACCCCCGACCTTCTTCCTGCACTCCATCTTCTCCCTTAGCCCAGGGAAAGGTTGTCTGCTTTTTTTTTTCATATATGATTCCATTTATATGAAATGTTTAGAATAGGCAAATCAATAGGAAGGCAGAATGTTTTTAATATATACGTAAATTAGGTGCGTACAGCAATTAGGTGAAGTGCATTAATAGTTTCTTATAGATAATTATATTGGGAAAGCTGGTTAACAAAATGAAAAACCTTGTTTGAATTAGTAAGGATGGAGTACTTCAGTGGGTCCCATCCAGATAATCCAGGTTAATTTCCCCATTAAAGGTCAGTAAATTCACTCATATCTGAAATGTCCCTTTCTCCATGTATGGCAATGTCTTCACAGGTTCTGCAGACAAGGGCATAGACATGGGGACATCCTCGTACCTACCACAAAGGCCACAATCACATGTGGTCTCTGCCCCCAAGCCTTCCCATCCAGGAGAAGCCATCTTGCCCTCTCATGTCCCACAGCCTACTTGACCCCAGCAGGGTATCTTCCTGCCCCGCTTTGCTGCACTGGCTGCGGCAGTGGCTGCAGCAGTGGCTCACATCCCACCCTCCTCTTAGACTGGCGGCAACGTGTCTCCCTCTTTCTGCCAGGCACCCCTTGATACTCTGTCGCAGCCACCTCACCTCCTGCCTCATTTTCCAGCAAGTACCAAGTGAGTTCACCCTGTTTGGCCCTGAGTGCACCTTCCAGCAAACCTCTGGCATCGGATGATGAGAGGTTGCTTTCTGGGGACAGTCTACTGTGAACGATGCTCCTCTAGAAATGGTCCAAGTCTTGGTTTATTTTGTTTGCCCATTTTCCTAATTCTTGCTTCTAGAGAAGACCTGTGCTAGGCCCCGTAGCTCTTACAACTCTCAGTGTCCACACCTATAACACAGGAGCAGACTGTGCCTGCACTAGCATCTTATGATTATCGTGAACAGCCCCTGTGTCGTTGGTTATGAAGACCGCCGCAAATCTCAGAGGCAGCTCATAACTTGGATCTGGAAAATGCTGAAGTAGCTCCTTTTTCTTTCTTTCTTTTTCTTTTGTGGCCACCAGCTTAGCCCACCCTAAAGGCAGACCTGGTGAAGCATGTAGTGTCTGGGATTGAACCACGATCCCTGCACTGCCTAAGCATGCCTAAGCAGGCACTTTATTTTTTTTTTTACATGTATTATCTTTATTTTGCATGTGAGGAAATCAAGGCAGAAAGAAGTTAATTATTTTTCTACTGCTTTCTTAAGAAGGATATAAGGCCATCTTGCTCCATCTTTTTTAAAAAATGGCTCTTTGATAAAGTTTTTCTAAATTCTTACACTAAATAAATTCTTTAATTGAGAAGCCTATTCACCATAGGCATTATCTAGAAAGTATAATGTATTATCACCCATTAAAATATTTTTTAGTAATTTTATTGAGAAACAAATAGCAATGAGACAGTTTCAAAGCCAATTAGCAGGACAGTTTTGATAATTAATACATTGCATACTGTTGTGTTAGTGGTTATTCATTGTACAAGATGCAGACATAATATCCTGTCCACAGAGACTATTAGAACAAATCTTTCTATTCATTGAAGTAAGAGAAGGTAGCTGTGTGTCTATCCTAACTATTTTGAATATACAGATACAAGATGATCGTTCATTTGTATCTCCTTTTTTGTTATGGTTAGATTTCTAAGTTTTTGTGTAAAAATATGTAATTGTTTATTCTTTATTTTATTTTATTTTTTTCTTCATATTCTGTAGGGACTCAAAGTTTAACATATCAATACTTGATGGAAAATACCTATTTCATGTTATGTCTAAGATATTTGATATTCAGACAAATAGTGAGGTTAAGCTCAACTGCCTATGTTGTAGGGGAATAATAATAAGCTTCTCTTCTAGAGGGTTAACAACCTAAGTTTGCAGACCAAAAATTAGAGAAAAAGAAGGGCTGAAAGAACAGCCAACATTTTGGTCCTAGCCTTTCAAGGTCAGTGAAGACTAAGGACCCAGGAGAACCTGCACTGTAACATCGTGTAACTCACTTATGTCCCAAATTTTCTGAACAAGGAGATTATGGGGCCACAGAGGAAAGTGATTAACAATGTAGAGTGTGCCTAAGGAGAGTCACATGGAGAGAAAACACTCTCTCAGGCTTTCACAGTGAACAAATTGGTCAAGCAGTGGCCTTGACTCATCCACATGGCTGACACTGACAAAGGATCTACCAACTGTGGTACAGGGTTTCAGGATAAATCCTGAGGGGATTTGACTAACCTTGTCAGATACAAAAGTTACATTTCTTGTTATATAGGTCTTGCTTTATCTTGGACTTAGTCATCCAGCAGAAAAGTATAAAAATGAAGTATTAAAGGTAAAGCCATATTAATATGCTGAGCTGTAAAAGGCTCAAGTCAACAACTTCTGACATTGCCAGTCCTACCGATAACCCACTACTATTATGGACTACTGGACTATATTGGAATATTTTTCTGAATTCATGCACCTACACTATTTAAATGACAATGGAATACCATTCTCTGGCAGACTCTTTAGACCACTGAGCTATCTCACTGAACCCCCTTTATCTTTAAAGAGATAAAGAGTGCTTTGCTCCTTAGTGTGCTTGTGAAGAGTATCAGTTTGAGTGATATAGCCCTGTTTCAGATGGATAATCAGAGGTAGACAAGCACCAGAGGCTGCTTATTCCTCACACTGAGCCGTGGCTGAATGGAGATCTTACTTGGGCTTCCGATTCTAACCCTCGCTCATTTGCCACAGCTGCTGCCAAGGCTGAGTGGATCACAGTGACACATCAGGGAGTCACTATGGGTTGAGGAGAGCAGCTCATGGAATGCTGCTATCCTTGTAAGGCACAGCAGCAATGCTAC